TAGTATTGGGAAGTTTTAATTATATGTATATGTATAAATATGTATATATTTACACGTATAAATATAAGTATATGTATTCTAATTCAGAATAGTATACACTCAGTCTACTAAATGTGCTTTCTCAGACTAAAATGGCACTTCCTCTTCATCAGACCTAGAGTCAGAAATAGAAGCCCAGTAACATTTTCTGCAACGGTCATGACCAGGTTTGAACAAGTCCTTGGGTAGATCTTTCATCTCTCCTTAGAATGGCTCACGTCTTTATATCACCCTCTACCCCTTTTAAAAAGGCATTTCCCGACTCTTATTCTTCCCCAGTGCTGTTGGAGAATGTGTGCTTCAAGTTCTTGCCAGCTTCCCTTTGGAACAGAGCAATTGCTTAACAAATGGCAGGTTTCTGTAAGAGGAAATCTCCATGGTTTAATGTGCGTTTGTTTCCTGTCAGTGTGTGCCTTCTGTTTTTGTTCACTCATAATCATCTTGTAACCTGCATGAAAAGGCAAAGAATCCAATGCTTGGGGAAATGGAGATTCAAACAATTACTTCCACACTGGTTTTCCAATTCTTGGCCCACAGAGCTTTCCGTGAGACAGGGAGCTCCAGTTGGTACCTGAGATTGCTGAATGCAGAAGGCTGGATATAAGAATGATGTCGCAAAGTTCCTTACAAAATCAGGACATTTTCAAAGGAACCTCATCATCACTTTGATGAAGTTTTTCCTGTAGAGAGAAACATTTTCAAGGCATTGAAGTAATCTGCATATACCGAATTGTTATATTTACCTAACAAGTGTGTAAATATTTGTCTATCTGACTCCACTAGACTAAGAGTTTTGACAGAATAGGGACTAGTGATGGAGTCTATTCATCAAAGTCCTGCTATGTATTTTGTGCTTTCTACAAATGATTATTAGATTAATGATGAGTTATATATTGTAGTGAGGTGTTTCAAAATCAGAAGGGTATTGAAATAATGTTATGGATTCATATGAATCAAGCCACACTCACAAAAAAAGGGTGTCTGAAATATATTAGGAGTATTTTACACTCATGAGAGAAATGAAAAGCTACCTCTTCACAGTGTGTTAACCATGAATTCCCTTACAAAGATCCTCATCTTAGGAGAAAGGTGGAGCTTATTCATGAAGTCAACAAGCTTGTTTTGAACATTTACCAGGAGAATAAAAAACTAAGACCAACTCAATTCTTTGAGACAGATGTAGTCCAGAGACAGACATATAGATAGCCATTTTCACTTTAAGAGAGAATTATATGAATGCCATATTATCAGAAAACCACGAATGGAAAAAAAAAAGGGTAAGAGGTCATGGATGTCATCTTTTTACAGGGAAGTTGGAATTCTGAATCAACCACATGTGGCAATGAGGATTCCAAAGGAAGGGAGCATTTCCGAAAAGAATTAACAGGATTTGGAGAATGACTGGGTTGGGGGATTGTTAAAGATGGGTTCGAAATATATAGCCAAGAGGAAATTGCTGACCACTTTCCTAAATATATAAAACACAGGAGGAATTTCCTGGGAGATTATTCTCGGGTGAATCACTATCTGGGATGGTGGGATGAAGGTGGGGGCTGTTTGCAAGTTGAACTAGATGCTTATTTGGCTCATTTTAAAATTCTCAATTCATGCAGAACTTAGTGACTCACCTCCAAAGGATAGAGTGTAGCAAAGGACAAATACCTTTGCAGTGGAGAAACTTTTTATACAATACCTTAGAGAGTGACGATGTCATGCTGACATCGTGTACCACCTCATATGATGTACCTCCACCTCCGTGGTGTTCTGTCCCCAAACCCATGACTACAGTCTAGTCATGATAAAACATCAGACACATCCAATCTGATGGACAAAATACCTGACCATTACCCCCTCAAAACTCCGAGGGTCACAAAAAGCAAGGGAAGACTGTGGAGCTGTCACAGAGTACAGGAGATATGGTGACTAAAGGCGGTGAGTATCTTAAAAGGGATCCTGAAACCGGAAAAGGACATTAGTGGAAAAACCGATGAAATGTGCATAAAATATGGAGTTTAGTTAATAGCATTGTGGTAGCACTGGTTTCTTCTTTTTGTTAAATGTTCCAAGATAATGTCACACAATAATGTTAGGGGAAATTGAGTATGTTTCGATGGATGTAATTTTCCTGTTTTGAAGTCTGGGACTAGCTGATGCAATAATATCGTTAGCAATAACAACTCAAATTTCTAAAACACTTTCCCAAACACTGATTCATGATGTGACAATATTATGAAGCTGGTAGTAGAGGTATTTTTATGTCCATTTTATTTTATTTTTAAAAAAATACATTTTATTGATTTTTTTACAGAGAGGAAGGGAGAGGGATAGAGAGTTAGAAACATCGATGAGAGAGAAACATCAATCAGCTGCCTCCTGCACACCTCCTACTGGGTATGTGCCCGCAACCAAGGTACATGCCCTTGACATTAATTGAACCTGGGACCCTTGAGTCTGCAGGCCAATGCTCTATCCACTGAGCCAAACCGGTTAGGGCTCTAGGTCCATTTTATAAATGCGTAAACAGTGGCTCAAAACTAAACTTATCCAAGATTGAAATTTCAGTGCCTTGGGCTTCCACCACTATCTTCTGAATCAGAGTCCTGCACTACTTTTATTTTCACCAGGTATTAGAAAGGCCAATGAATGTGTGCACGGATAGAGGGGGAAGGGTACAAGAAACATGGGTACAAAAGGATTTGAGATGGCAGTCAAATTTCCATTGAAGTGAAAACTCCACTGAAGACTGAAAGCCTAAGAATAACTAATGAGTTAACTTTCTGTTATGTGAGGCTGGCAGATTTGGTTTTCATCTCTATACTTCCCAAATTTATATAGGAGTGATAGTTTCCTCAATAAAAATAAAGTAACTTAATGATCACATTTTTCTGAGTCTGCAAAATCATTGTATTCTGGAGCCCCTGAATCACATTTATTATTCTTTGCTACCTCTGGCCCACCATCACCCATTTCTAAAGCTGACTCACGGTTTCTGTGGATGACACATTTATTACATTGAATCTGTTCATCTATTTGATATATTTTTCCATACTCAATTTTCCTTGTCCTGATTACAATCATCTTGAATAGGAAGTATATCCACATGACATAGTTTTCTTACAATTTAGGATCAGCAATAATAAAATGCAAATTCTGTACATCTGCAATCAACCCCTCTCCCTTTTTCAGTCTCATTCATTTTCCAGGAGCATAAATCAGGAAGTTAAACCTGTAAGGTTCTGTTTTGTCTTTAAACAAAAATGCGTTCTTAAAGATGAACTAAGTATACTGTTATCTCAGATCAAGGTATCATCAATGAAAGAGCCTCGTGTGGATACTTATGTAACTTACAAACACATGCAAAGATGCATGTTTAGAAGCAGATAGATGTGAGTGTCCTACAATGTGATCTTCCTTGTTGATTCTGCAGCCTGAGGAGCTATCCCTGTGCTTTGCTGCCCCCTTGGCAAACTGGAAGGATTTACAACGGAATTCTGCAAAGGGCGGTCTGGAAACTGTGTTCCTCTGTGGGCTGGCCTGGCTCGGAGGTGTTCGAATGGCTATTACAGATTCCCCTTGGCTTGGGTATGTTGCAGATAGAAATGAGAACATCTTTCCGGTGGAGAAACAGATTTTCTTTAAAAAAAATAATTCAGTTTCCGCAAGATCCACGTGTTACCCCTCTGAGTTATTTTGAAAGGCTCCGTATTTCTTCTTTTTCAGTCCGAAATGGAAATGCCAGAAGAAGGAATAGGTTGAAGATGCCTGAGTTTGCGCTCTGGGCGACTTTCGGGCTCACTGGGGTGTGATGGCGAATGCAGAGGCGCATGGCTATCCCTTAGTTTTCTAAGCTTCCACTCCGTGCCCAGGAGATGCCTGGGCTCCAATTCCAGTTAACTTCTTGGGAGTCCAGAACACTTTCAGTGGTTCTCAACCTTCTGGCCCTTTAAATACAGTTCCTCATGTTGTGACCCCCAACCATAAAACTAAAATTACTTCATAACTGTAATGTTGCTACTGTTATGAATCGTAATGTAAGTATCTGATATGCAGGATGGTCTTAGGCGATCCCTATGAAAGGATCGTTCAGCCCCAAAGGGGTCGCGACCCACAGGTTGAGAACCGCTGATTGAAGCTTGTTTACAAAATGCAAAGCACCTGGGTGGCCAAGGCCGAGACTCCGGTATTCTCTTTTATTTATTTATTTTTTTCCAAATCGCTCCCAAAAGAGAGCCACGGGGCAGTAACGCAGATCAAAATCTCAGCTCTTAGAGCTGACCCGCTGCTTTCAATGCCGGGACACGTCTGCATCGTCTTTTCTGTTCGTGTTTCTCCTGTGGATGCCATTCTAAGGCTCCGTGCCTCTTTCTCTCCCCCGCCCCAGCCCCCACCTTTCCATCTGCCTAAACACATCTCAGGCTCCTCAAACCCGAGTCCTCCCCCATCTTTCCGGTGTCTTAGTCTTATTTGTGGTCTTATTAGGCGGGCATTGGGTGCGTGGGTGGGAGGCAGCTTTCCTCGCTGTTTCATTTAAATGCATCGTGGGTGGGTGGGTTCCTTACACAGTTCCTCTCGCACACGCCAAACAGTTAAAAAACTAGAGTCTGGAGGAGCCGAGAGTTCCACATGTTCAATGTGCCTCTAGCAAAGGAAAAAATACGGGGACAGCGTGGTGGGGATGGGGTTGTGTGTGTGTGGGGGGGTGGGGGGTGTTTGAAATAAGGGAATAAAACTCAACTTCGCTGGCAACTTCAATAAATATGGTAACTGGAGGCAAAAAATAGACTCGGAGGGCTGGGTTTGGTCCGGATGAAACGCTAGGGCTCCTTCCCATGCCGGAGTCTGGGGCTGGAAGCCTGCCCCTGGCGTCTTGCCACGCGAGTGCCCCCAGACAGCAACACACCCACTGGAAACGCACGTGAACAAAGCTCTCGCCTCGGGAGCCGCCGCCTGCGGTTTCCTAGTTGAATCCGGCTTCTCCGGGGAGCGCAGGGCGCACACAGGGTTAAGTCAGGTCCCTCCCCCGTCGGAGGGAGGGGCAGGGAGGTGGGGGGAAAGCAGCCCAGTGTCTCCGGCTGGGTACCTTGTAGTTAGTTGTACGTTGGAAACCTGTCGCCGTCACTTTCGAGTTTGGCATCTTCCATGGTCGCCGCAGAGGAACGAGCGCTCCGAGACGACATCGGCGGCCGAAGTCTCCGCGCCACGGCTCCGAGCTGCTACCGCTCGGGTGCGTCTCTGGTCCTAGGTCCGGGGTAACCAGCAGCAGCGAGGCCACAGCTCCGCGCCGGCCGCCGTGCCCACCCAGCCCCGGAACCAGGTTGGCAGTTCTCAACGATGGGCAGGAGGGACCTTGGCGGCGACCCCTAAAACAATACCATGCCCCGGGAGCCCCGCTGCTGCCGCGCCAGCTTCTTTCCTTTCCACCTCCCCGACCCCGTCGGATTCGGATGAGCCCGCGGCAAGGAGACGCGGACACCAGGTAAAGGGGCTGCGGTGCCAGGTGGAGTTGCCAGGAACCGCCCGGACTGCCCCTACGCGGGCACCGCGCGGTCTCGTTGGGGGAGGAGGGATTCTTTTTTTAACCAGCGGGGGTGGGAGGTGGCGTGGGGTGGGGGGCTGGTTAGCGGGTGGATGGGATGTTTCAGTCTCTATCTTTCATCCAGAGGGAAAATAGACTGCTTAACTGGCCCCCGACTCTAGGGAGCTCTGTGTTCAGGTCGAATCCACCTCCTCCAAGGAGTTTTCTAACTGAGCTCAGAGTCAAAACGTAAATGTGCTTGCCTGCGGGGAGCATCATCCTAAATTGGGGGTTCCAGAGCCCCTAAACTTGCCGGAATCCAGCCTCTCACTTCCCCAGAAAGAATCTGTTAACTTCTAGCAGTAACATCCCCCGACGCCCCCACCTCTGCGCCAGCTCCATCTGTTGTTAATGTCACCAGCCTGACTATCAAGAGCTGGCGCCTAAAGCCACCAGCACGCCCCCTGCCCGCAATCCGGTATCTATTAGTGGCTAAAAAGATGAGGGCGGGGGGGGGGGGGGCGGTTTGCTAGCTCCTTTTTCTTCGAGTTGAGGACGTGGTTACTTTGACCGAAATCAACTCTTTCTCCAGATCTACCGGTCTTCAGTGGCCTGGCACTGAGCTGGAACCAGCGCATCCTCTGCG